TTTCTTTTTTAAGCAACTTTTTCTTGACCAAAGCATCTGATTTGACAAACCAGATCCTAGCTTGCTGCTCGCCTCTTTTCCCTTCACCAGAACATGATTCAGATCCTAATGTAAGCACCACAAGAATAGGACACGGAATCAAACCACTGCTCTTGTCTGCCACACAAACCGTCCAGATAATTGGTATTCTTGATTCATTCTGCTTTAGCGATTATGGTCATTTGAGAGGTGCTTCTCAACACCTCATCGTTTCCTCTACCAAATGCTGATATGTGTCAGGCATCAGCAGTGGGAACTTTTTTTGTTTTTAAACATTTAAAGCAAAGGGTTTTCAATCTATAAGCCAGTCTGTATGCACCTCCTACTGGGGTCCAAGGCATAAATACACAACTATTGTACAAAACATTTCCTACAAAAATGAGAGATCTCCATGAAATCAACCATCTCCTCGACATCCTACTAATCGTCACAGCAGTGAAGACCCACCAAGAAAGACCAAAAAAAAAAAGCAGAAATAGGAGTTGAGACACTGAACTTGATTTCCTAGATTCCTCTCCAGCCCTAGTTCTCCTCACGGCTCTGAGAGGCCCAATGCCCTGCTCCGCTCTTCCCTCTGGATCCTGACACACAGCTCTGACTTGCTGTCAAAGAATCAGCCTCTACGAATCAATGCTCACTGCCAACCTGTTTGCTGGGGAGCGTTTGCCAGTTCTGGCAAATAGCCATGAGGCTGGAACGGGAAAACGTCCATCTCGCCCGTGGCCAGGGTCTACATCCACAACGACGGCCACCTTTCCAGAGGATTTTCTGGAAATGCTATCCGAGCAAGCAGAACGAGCAACTGGAATACACGACTTGGGGATTGAGCCCACACAGAAAGGGGAAACCTGGCCACGCTCTCCGTAGTGCTGCCGCCCCCAGATGACAAACTCCAGGAAGAAAGGGCGTGAACACCAGTGCTCTGGGGCTGTGGTCCTCTGCGGCAGGGAAGGCATCCAGCTGCCCCGGGGGGCCGGGAGCCCCGGGGTCCTCTGATGGTTGCGCACCATACCCCGGCGGGACGTACAATTCACCAGTTGTCAGAAGTTTCCTGGTACTGCTGGGGTGGGTGGGCGTGGGGGGTTGCAGAACAGCCCACCCTATCCTCTAGGCTCTACACGTCATAAGCGTTCATGACTGTGTGAGTTTGGGTAGTTCGGCCGGTGTACATGGAAGTGGTCTGTTTAGGTGTTGTTGCGGCCATACTGATAGTCCCTTGTGCTGGGGAAGAGGACGCCGTTGTGGGGCTTCTTCAGGGGGCTCCGGTGGTGCTCCTTACCGCTCAGGTCCCCCGCCGTGACAGGGAGAAGGTTGCTCTGTGCTTGCCGATGCGCGTCGTACTTGGTCTGCCGGGGCAAGAGAGCCGGGGGACATTGGCTCCTTCCCCCAAGGACACACAAGACAAAGGGGAGCTCAAGATTCACTGCCAGGGTAGCCCTTGAAGGCCATGCAAGTGTTGACCCAGCAGGGCTGGACATGGCCAGTGAACGGCTAATGGACTGGCCCTCGCTATTAGTCATCCTATGTCCTTACAGGGGTCTCAACAGAGCCTACATAGGAGAGAGTGACATCCTGAACAAAGCCTCAGTGGACCCAAGAGCCACAGCTGGAGGAGGCAAGGACTGGGGCCATCCATGGGGGAAAAAGGCAGGTCAGGATGGGAGGGGCTGTGCCAAGACCATAAACCAGTTTGGCAAAACTGGGAGCTGGAACCTGGGCCTCTTGGCTTCTGGCGAGGCCACTTCTTTTCCCCTCTCCACCATTCTTGGTGCCCCCCGCGGTGTCAGTAGGTTAGACAATCCCTCTATCCCAGACTCACCTTGTTGTACAGGAAAACGCCCAGGATGGCTGTCATCATGCCCAGGACGTTGGTGCTGGTGACGGGGTTCCGCAGCATGATCAGGGACACGGTGATGACCATGATTCTCTTGGTGGCGTTGGCAACTGAGTAGCTCAGAGGGCTGATGAGGTTGAGGATGCTGAAGGCAATGACGTTCTGGGCAAAGTTACAGAAGCCACTGACAGCCAGAAGCAGGAGCGTCCAGGGCCACTGGGACACATAGGTCTACAGACGGGAGCAAGACAGCACCATGGTCACATGCCAGCCCCTGGCAGAGGTTGGGAGAACGGCACAGAGTGGTTTATTGGGGCCAGCCGGTGGGGAGCAGACCAGGATGGGTTCGAGTGTGATAGCAGGTGCTTTCTACACACACAGCCTCTAACCCTCACGACACTGCTTGGCACAAGCAGCATGGCCTTCATCATTGCCTTCAACGTCACCATCATTGTCACAATCACCATCATCATCAACCACTACTGTCACTGCCCTCACCACCACCACCACCTTCCCCTTCCGCTGAGGAATGGAGGCGCCGAGAAGGATTATCAGGTGTCCAAAGGGTGCAGAGCATGGCGTGAACCAAAGCCTTCCCTCATCCCTGGACAGTGAAGGTCAGGGCTCTGGGGATGACAGAGTAAGATCTCACTCTGATCGGGCTCCTGTAATAGACACCAAGGCCCGGGGACTTACAAACAACAAACATTGGTTTCTTAGTTCTGGAGGCTGGAAGTCCAAGATCAAGGAGATTCCGTGTCTGGTGGGGCTTCTTGGTTCACAGATGGTGTTTTCTTGTGGTGTCCTCAAGTGGTCGAAGTGGTAAGGATGCTTTCTGGGGTCCCTTTAGGGCACTGATCCTCCTTGATGAGGGCCCCATCACCCTCATGATCTAATTACCTCCCAAAGGCCCCACCTTCTAACACCATCTCATTGGGGGTTGGTTTGAACATGTGGATTTTGGGGGAACGCAAACATTCAGACCACAGCAGAGACGATACATTCTGTAAGACAGGGAGGTCTCAGGAAGGCAGCCCCTGATATATGAAGAAACCTCCCGAGGTGGGGAGACAAGACCTGGGTCTGCCCCACCTCTGGAAGCCTGGGCAGCTGTTTGACCTCTCTGATTGTGGTGACCTCTCTGCAACGGGGATGATCCCTGCTGAACCTGCACAATGCCACCGCTGTGGAGATCAAATGCCATCATGGCTCCAAGAGTGCTTTAAAAAAATTTAAAGCCACACAAACATAAGAAGGCAATTGGTGTGTCTATCTCATGTTGATGTTTCTCTCCCCCTCGCTCCCCCCAAGTTCCACTCTCTCTAAAAGTAAATCAATGGGGTAAAAACCTTGGGTGAAAATTCCAAATAAAGAAAAGGTGATGGGGCGCTGGTGGGTCCCTGTCAGGGAAGCAGCATCCCACTGAGTCCCAGCTTTCATTCTCTTGTCTGTTCTCAATCCTTCATTGCCCACTCGGCTGGGCTGGCGCAGCACATAAGGCGCCTGGGACTGAGTATGCCTTGGCCATGCCCGCTACCCTCAAGTGGCGCCCGAACAGGGCCCGTGTATGGGGGAACTACAGTTATTAGGGGAAAGGAGGCCCCAAGATGTGTGCACACAGAAAGTAAGGTAGGGAGCTGAAGGATGGTACTACCCTGTTTCCCCGAAAATAAGACAGTGTCTTATATTAATTTTTTTCTCCCAAAGTTGCGCTAGGTCTTATTTTCAGGGTATGTCTTATCTTTCCATGCGCTAGGTCTTTTTTCGGAGGATGTCTTATTTTCGGGAAACACGGTAGCTCAGTGTAAAACATGGGACAAAAAGAAAAAGAAAACGTGATCACTAGAAGAAAACTGAAAAATGTCCTCAATACAAGAAAAAGCAAAGAAAAGAGACCAGAGCTAAGCCTATATATATATTTTTGTGCATGTATATGCATAGAGACACCAAAGAACTGTAACATAGGACAGCATAAGAGAACTGACATCATCGCCGAAACCGGTTTGGCTCAGCGGTAGAGCGTCGGTCTGCGGACTGAAAGGTCCTGGGTTCGATTCCGGTCAAGGGCATGTACGTTGGTTGCGGGCACATCCCTGGTGGAGGATGTGCAGGAGGCGGCTGGTTGATGTTTCTCTCTCATTGACGTTTCTGGCTCTTTATCTCTCTCCCTTCCTCTCTGTAAAAAAGAAAAAAAAAAGAAAAAAAAGAGAACTGACATCAAACCTATCAATATAATGTAGCCAATAAAAGGAATGAGAAAGACCTAAATACATCAACATGAGTGATCTCCAGGACATATTATTGAGTGAAAAAAGCAAGTTGTTCTTTTCTAAATATCTAAACAATCACTTTTTGTATAAGGAGGAGGGAAATTATGAATGTATTTTTGAATAAACCTTGACATATCGTTTGGTTTGGAAATATAAAGATTTGACATTCAGTAAGGGGTATGAAGAGAAAGCAATGTCTAAAAATTGAAAAGGAACCCAACAGTTGTCATTGACAGACACACTGTGAAAATTCCTGCAAGTGCCCTTAGAACAGAATATTTCAATTATATAATAAAGCCTCAATGACACTGAAGGTTCTGAGACTTTAAGCGAAAGGACATATGAATGAAACCAGTTTTACCAGAGGCTAAATGATATCAGCATCTCATCAATGCTCCAACAAAATGATCTGCTGTACATTTTTTTAATCCACACCTGATAATTTTTTTCCATTGATTTCTAGAGAGTGGAAGGAAGGGAGGAGGGGAAGCGAGATAGGCACATGGATTGGTTGCCTCCTGCATGTGCCCCTACCGGGGCTGGGGAACCTGCAACTGAGGTGCATGCCCTTGACCAGGAATCGAACCCACTACCCCTTCAATCCACGGGCCAACACTCTTAACCACTGAACCAAACTACCCAGGGCCTGCTGGACATTTTTTATGGGACATGTTCTCTGGACAAGTAGAAGTGCACAGAAATCTTAAACTTCTTGCTTGACCTGCAGTTGTCTTCAGAGGTGCTCACTCTGAAGCAACATGTGTGTACATAGATCCATGTATGTAAGTACCTGGAGAAGGATAACTAAATAGAAAATGTTGCAAGGAACCAAGTGTTCCAGAAAAGATATTAATAAAAAACCAAAGCAGTAATAAATTATGTGATGTTCAATGGGAATTGAAAAGAATTGGAATGAACTCTCTTCTGCCCCCAAACACTCCTTTCCCGAATGTTTCACTGCAAAGGCCTAACAGCAATGGCAGCCAACAGCAATGTGAACACACCGTTCGATTGTTCCTACACACTGCTCTCCAATAAAAGCAACTGCGTCCCCCAACCAGTGCTGACGGCAGGCCTGGGGCTGGAGGTACACAAAGGAGGAAATCTTCCTGAACCAAAAGCCACCAAAGGCTGACAGGTGCTGTCAGAAGGGCAGGGAGCCAATAAGAGGACTCGATTGGTCAAGACAGTTTTAATTTTACTATGAAAATAATATGTACAACTCACACACCTTCCTAAAAAGAAAAGAACCCTACTCCACGCCCAAAAAGGGAAAAACACTTTGACTCACTGGTTAATTGCAGTCACTCCAACTCTTTACTCTGAAAATGGTAATTAAAAGGGAAGAGAAGCACTGCACTGCCCCTCATGCCCTGTACTTCAAGATAACAGACTACTCCTGGTCGAGGGTGAAAAGTCCTTCACAGAGAAATCATAGCTAAGCAACGTGGAAGGGAAGTTAGAGCAGGGAGCCGCAGTTTTCTTACCTGGTAACTGGAGGTAAGCTCCACGACAGCCACAGGTGGAGCTAAGGACTGAAGACTAATGTCAAGAACCCAGCCAGATCTCATGAAGCCTCACAATCATTTACTCCTCCGTAACTCAGGTGTGGAAGGACCACGCACAGCTCCTCATCACTGCGCCCGCGTTAGCGTCTAGCACGCTCTCTGGAGGCTGGCCCGGCACAGGCGGTGAGAAGACACCACTTCCTGTGCTCCAGAGAGCCACAGCTACAACTGCAGTACACGGAAATATGTAGAGAGGACACCGAGAAAGGAACAAACTCAGTTTTAAAGCTAGGGTGAGGTATGAACAGATTAGAAGACAGGGAAGTCCCCTGTGCTGGCAGTCTTGTCATCTTTCGTGCCACTGCTATCAGCAGCTGGGATCTAGCATGCTGGAGAAGGAAACGCAAAGAAAGCCAACTTCCTACAACGTGAGCCCTGACAAAGAGATGAGTATTTAAAGACCAGGCTGTCAGAGGCCCCAACAGCCCCCGAGTCAACACAGAGGACAAAACACCCACTTTGGAACCCGTCAAGAAAAGGGTGTGTTCGTGGTGCCGGCCAACTCACCAGGTCACTGCTGACCAGGAAAGTGGAGAGGTCCACCAGGACCCACGTGGGGATCATAAAGAAGACGGCGTGGCAGCCCAAGATGTTCAGCAGCCTCAGATGGTGGATCCGTGAGTCTCTCAATACCTGAGGAGAGAAAATCTCTTTAAAGGCCAAGCGACACTGTCAGTGTCAAGGACTTGAGTTACTCAGGCTCCAAACACAGTGACTTTACATTAACCTTGAAGTCACACCTTTGACTATTAAACCTGCAAGGGTACCTGTGATGGGACAGGCAGTTCATGCCTGAAACAAGTACAATGTTTTATACACAAAGAACCGAGAAAAAAAAACCAAAAAAAAACCAAAGCAAAAACAAAATAGCAACACCCAATGCCTCAATGCTGGCTAGGCACTGTGAAATCCCACTAAATTGGCATATCACTGTTTCAGAACACAACCAGGTAAAGCATATCAAGAGCCATAAACATCTCCTGACCTTTATCATTATATCCTTATGTAAGCCAATCATAAGGAAATAACCTGAGAGAAAGACATTGTAAATTATTGCATCACTTACAATGAATAGTTGAAAATAACCTGCATTTGCAATAGAAGAACTAAATGTATTAATTGTGGTACCTGAGGAGTGTGATTGTTACAGGAGTTAAGAGCAATATTTTTTAATGATATCAGAGAATGCAATGATACAATTGTAAATGAGCAAAACAAAATTCTAACATGTATCTATATATATGTAAAAGCCTAATATGCAAATTGTTTGACCGGGAGTTTGACCACTCGCTATGACATGCACTGACCACCAGGGGTCAGCATGGAACATGCTGGCAACGTGCAGCAGTGGAGGTGCTGCTCGCTCCAATGGGCTCTGACAAGAGCAGGACTGCAGGGGGATGGTGGAGCAGGTGAGTGGGCAGCGCCAGGCCAAGACTGGTGTGAGCAGAGGCCTAATTGCCCTGCCAATCCCCACAGATCCAGTGGTGAGGGAGCTGGGCAGGGTGCCGGGCTCTGATTGATCGCCCTGCAGGCAGGATGATGCAGGGGGCAGCACCAGGGGGCAGGGATGCCATGGGCGGCTGTAGGACTGAGAGGCTGTGGACATGAGCTGGGGCTGCGAGACCCGGGGGGGGGGGGGGGGCACAAGCTAGGGCCGATCCCCGCAGGCCACCTCGAGGGACCCCACCTGTGCACAAATTCGTGCACCAGATCTCTGGTCTAAAATATTATAAAACTAAAAGCTGTGCAGAAAATACCCCTAGCATTAATAATTTACCCAAGAGCATAGAAACCCCTTGGCAGGTAAGGCAAGCCTCCTGATTCTTCATTTCTAGCACCTACTACAGTGCCTGCCACATAAGTAGGTACTCAATTCTGATTTTTTTCATTAAACTTTTCTCTATTCCCCCCCATCAAGCATATGTTAATTGTATAATAAAAAATCATAATCTCTTGGTACACAATGTTCTCTCTTCCTCGCTCTTTCGCTAGCTCTCTGAAGCATGCCCCCACCTTTCCTCCTCTTCTTCCCTCAAAGCAAGCACCTTTGCTCCTCTCTCTCTCCCCTCAGCTCCAGGTCCTTTTTTTGTGCCTCTGACCTTGTTTCCTGAGCCCATGCAGCCCAGCTGGCTCACTTTTTCTTCCTCTGTGACTTTCTCACCGGGCCCCCCCCCACACCCATGACTTTCTAAATAAACTTTTGCTTGCATTTGAAAATAAATAAATAGGAAAGTAACAAAATAAAACATTCTTGGAAAATAAAACAATAGAAAAGGAGGACATGATTTTCTTCACCACCAAAGAAATCCCCACTTGGTCACTTCTTCAATGCTACCCATGCACCCCCAGTACATCATCGTACCAGAGACAGTATCTAAATACCTTTTTGGAGAAAATATTCTGAAGCGAGAAGCACAGTGTGGCAGCAAGAGCACTGATGAGTCCCCACATATCGAACGACAACTCGGTGACAGTGGCCAGCAGGACGCCGCTGATGATGGGGATGAGGGACAGGTACACCTGTGGGAGAGGCAGGAAGGGCTGATGGGCTGGAGCTGAGTGGGGCCGCCCAATATAGACACCCAGGGGAAAGCCTTAGCTGCTCTCTTCTCCTTCAACGAAGGGGCACCACCTATCCTCTGGACAACAGTGTCAGCTGGGACAGCAGTGCTCCGGAGGTTGGGGGCAGAGAGATGGTTATCGTAGCACCTGGGGCAAGGCTGTGTCACTATGGGCAGCCCCACTCCCTACCATCACCCCCAGTAAGAGCCCTTGCTAGGGCCACCAACGGGGGCTGCTCCTAACAGATCTATCCAGCTGCCACCATCAACACACCAGGGTCTGAAACCCCGATCCTGCCGGGGGCTGGCAGGGTCCCTCTTCCAACTTGCATTTACCACTGACTGGAACACTCCTCCAGCGCTTTCTCTAGCTGGAGAGCTCCTACCTGCTCAGGCCTCAGCTCACATACCATTCAAGAGAACTTCCCCCCCACCTCCCCACACCCCGTCCCCTCCCCCACCCCCACGCTGTCAAGTTCCTGGGCCTAGAGATCTCCACCCATTATAAGTGTCTATTAGCCGAAACCGGTTTGGCTCAGTGGATAGAGCGTTGGCCTGCCGACTGAAAGGTCCCAGGTTCGATTCCGGTCAAGGCCAGTACCTTGGTTGCGGGCACATCCCCAGTAGGGGGTGTGCAAGAGGCAGCTGATCGATGTATCTCTCTCATCGATGTTTCTCTCTATCCCTCCCTTCCTCTCTGTAAAAAAAAAAATAAAAATCAATAAAATATAAGTGTCCATTACATAGTCTGTGTCCCTGCACTTCTTTAGGGTAGGTCCTTGTTCACTGCTCTATCCTGGTGTCCAAAACACAGCGGCATCCAGTAACAGCTGGCTGAATGACTGAGTAACGTGCTGGGATAGGAGGCCTTCCACAGGTCCAAGCTTTCCAGGGCCTGGTGTATGCAGTGGCTCCTGAGCTCTCAGCTGGCTAAGTGGCTCCCCATTTCCAGATAAACAGAATCAATTCCTGACATTTAGCTTTTCTGACTCCCAGCTTCTCTCTCTTCTACAAAGGACTTTGTTAAAGTACTGTGGAGATTTTAGGAGCGGCTGGTTAAAGCTCCCCCACCCCGCTCCAAGTACCTCCTGGCCCCCCAAGCCTCCACCCAGGTCAAAGCAAGAGCTTTGAATTCCAGCTTCCCCACTACCGGCTATGGCCCGTGGGCACATGACTCTCCCCTTACAAGTCCCATTTCCTCCCCTGAGATCTGGAATGACCTGCTTTATCTTCCTCATAGGGTGGATCCATACTCATTCCTTCATTATCAGACTCCTGCCCAAGTCCTTCCCTACTGTTTCCTCACTGGGTGAAGTTTCCAGCTCCTTGTCCAAGCCAGGTCCAATGTCCTGTACAACGGGGAAACCTGATAAACATGCTGTGATATCGAGTGATGCAGCCGCACACCTCCTGAGCAACTCGGGAGACAAGTCACATCTGACGTTACCCTGGGAGCAGGCAGCAGAACACACCCAGTTCTCGCAGGGAAAAAGATAGGCTGAAAGAAAAAATCAGCCAGAGCGGCCCAATTCCCTTTAAAAAATACACACACACACACACACACACACACATACATATATGATTTCACAGAGGAAGGGAGGTAGAAACATAAACAATGAGAGAATCATTGACTGGCTGCCTCCTGCACACTGAGCCCGCAACCCCAGTATGCGCCCTTGACCCAAATTGAACCTGAGACCCTTTAGTCCGCAGGCCGACGCTCTACCCACTGAGCCAACTGGCTTGGGCTGGCCCAATTTCTATAAGCTGATCCAAGGAACTGCTGCTCATAAACACAGGATGCCAGAAACCAATCAAGTAGAAAAGAGGCGCTCTGTCCAGCACGAAATGAATTCCAGCTGGGACAACAGGAGCCACTTCTACTTGAGGGCATAGATGGGCAAGGCTGTCTCCGGCTAAAGCCACAGCTTCTCTCGCCCCAAGGCAGGAAACACCCTGGCTTGGCACACCGAACAGACCCTGGATTGTGCCCAGAGCACCTTCCTTTATGCAGTTCTGGGTTCTGTCTGTTATTTTAACTTCCATTCTCAAACATTCCCAATTCTTGGCTGCTTTTATTTCAAAGACTTTGATGAATTTTTGCCAAAAATCAGACTCCTTTGACAAGCATCTCACTTCTGACCCCAAAAACCTCCAACCCGACCATGCTTGACGCTTGTAAAGAAGTGAAACTCCATTCCAGCACGAAGTCAGATGTTCCACCCTCCGTCCCACTCCAGGAGAAAGGGTACCTGGCCAAGATGGGATCAAGTCATCACCTACCAGACACTTTGGGTAGGAGATCAAAGGAGGGAGGAAAGTGGAACTAGAGAGAGAGGGCAGTGTCCACGAGACCACACAGGAGAAACAACTCAGGGACACACACACACCGCTGTTCCCAGGGTGACTGCAGAAAATTAACAGCAAAAGGGCCACCAGAGGCATCTAAACTGACTTCCTTATTTGACAGGAAGCCTGGCAGCCTGCAGGCCAGGAGCCTGGACCACGTCACCAGCTGGGCACTTCCTGGAAGCCCTCGGAGTCCCCACCTGCCCAGAGTCCTTCTGGGTTACCTTTGTGCTCTGCTTCTCTTTCATGATGATCCGGGACAGGAGGACCACCCAGATGGGCATGGTGGCCTTGACTGCAAAGAGAAGCAATGGGGCGCTCAGGTGGCCACCCTGAGAGCTCTTGTCCCAACTTATCCGCGGGCTGAGACAGCTTGGCAAACCCTCAAAACTCTGTAGTCCTTCTCTTTCTGTGGGATTTCACCCCAACCCCACTCGGCTCCCTGCTCCCTTTCAACCCCTCCCCTCCCGAAGGCCCGGCCCCCCTCCGGGTGCTAGACCCTCCCCAGCGCAGAGCCTGGCGGCATTCCAGGTGAGACGCCCCCGCAAGACCAGGCGCCTCCAAGGTGAGACGCCCCCCCACGACCGGGCGCCGCACTCACCGGTGTGCGCGTAGGACACGGGCACCTTCCAGATGCTGACGTGCGCCGACACGGACGCGAAGTATTTGCCGAAGGCGAGGGGCAGCACGTAGCGCGGGTAGAAGCGCGGCGGCAGCAGCGGGCCGGGCGACGGGTGCGGATCGGACCCAGAGCCCGAGACGGGCGGCGCGGGGGGCACGCGCCAGGCGCGCAGCAGCGGTGGGAGCCCGGCGCACAGCGCCAGGATGTGGCACAGCGACACGGTCACGGGAAACGGGAAGGCGCTCAGGATCACCTTGTTGACTACGTTGCCGCCCGCGCTCAGCGCATACCACAGCAGGCACAGCGCCGCCACCCGCGCCCCCTCACGCGCCCCGCCGCCGCCGCCGCCGCCCGCCGCGCCCGGGCCCCCCGTGCCCGGGACCGCCGCCATCCTACCCCAGCGGCCACCCCTTCCCGCCCGTTCCACGGCCCTACGCGGGGCTGGGGCGGGGCCTGGAGGGGGCGGGCGCGCCCGCCAACACCGCTCCCCATTGGCCGCCGCCTCCCGTCACCGCCGCGCCCGCCATTACGTAGCAAGCGCAGGCCCCGCCTCCCGCGGATGAGCTTCCGGTGGGGGCAGGACCTATCCCGGAAGCGGAAGGACACGCAGGCCCAGAGCCCAATGGGGTTGCAAAGTGGTGGGTTGGCTCGGGGACTGGGAGCACCGGCGCCCTCGACCAGATTCCTGATAGGCAGACACCGAGGGATGGAAGGCCAAATTGTGAAAAGCTAAATCCTTTCTGCAAAGCGGGAGCGGACTCCTGTGGCTGGTTCCCTGGAGCACGACCTAGGAACTGCCGTTACGTGCTCTGCGCGGTAGGTGTGACCCTCTCCAGTTCCACAGGCGGACAGACCGGAAGCCCAGACTCGGCCGCCTCCTCGGGCACTGTCTCCAATGGGTCTGGGAGGAAGTGCTGCGCCCCATCCACTGATACCCTGGGCCCCCGCAGAGTAAAATAAGACAGTGTTTTCGGCAAGATGACTTTGTACTACTTAAAGGATTTTCGTCTGCTCCAAAGACATGTACTAAATAACTTTTGGGGTGGGCTTAGGGGTAGAAATGGTGTTAATATCCTCCTACAGTGTCCTTACCTGGCAAATTAGAAAGTGGCAGTCCATCGATCTTCAAAATGTTGGAGAAACCTTATCTTAAACTTGGGTTCTCAAAGCCAGGCAGTATCTACCATGGAACTTATTGGATACCCAGACAGGAGAGGTGATTCCTACAGCAGGGCGCAGGTCTGAGGAAAGGATATACTCGTGATACTAACCTGAACCCTCGTATCTCCCAGCTGTCGGGATCATTTGTCATTATCATTTGTCACAAAGTAATGTCACTTCCTCAGACATCCACATGGCAGGGCTGGCCACATTAAGAGTAAGAAAAACAGCCGAAACTGGTTTGGCTCAGTGCATAGAGCGTCAGCCTGCGAACTGAAAGGTCCCAGGTTCGATTCCGGTCAAGGGCATGTACCTTGGTTGCGGGCACATCCCCGGTGGGGGATGTGCAGGAGGCAGCTGATCGATGTTTCTCTCATTGATGTTTCTAGCTATCTCCCTTCCTCTCTGTAAAAAATCAATAAAATATATTTTTTTAGAGAGAGAGAGAGAGAAACAGGCACACTGAGGTTAGGAAAGGAACTAGTTACTCCATAGCACAGATGGTTTCACTGAGGCACTTCTTTAAAAACTGATCATTTAACTTGATCTTCACAAATCTGAAGCAAGCACTTGTATCTCCCAAATGGGGGCACATACAGAAGTGAGCCACACAGCAGGTTGACAGCAGGGCCTGGACCTCTGGGTTAACCCCTATGAGATTACCCTTCTTAAAGGTTAGCTACTCTTCATCTATGAAATTAAGTAGATATGTCCAAAATGACCATCCTGGAGTGGAAAAACTAGAAAACCAGTAATTGTTCCAGGAACAAAGGTGAATTAGAAAAGTTATACAAGAAGTACGCTGCCAGATATGGCTCTGTGCCATGCCATGTAAAAAACTATAAATATTTTAGGGTATAAGGTCACAAAAATCTCTCCAGGGCAGGTGAGGCCTGGATGGAGACAGGATAACATTCTTGATGTGGACCCTTGGTCTCTATCACCCAAAGCCAGTACGTGACTCTGGAGATGGGAGAGGCAACATGTGGCCCTGAATAAATGAAAGGCAGGTGGAGGTCAGTGTCCATGAAGAATGTTAACAGGCTGACTTGGTCACTCTGCCTACCCACCTCTGTACAGACTCACACTATAGGGCCCAAACCTTGAACACGTTTTCTTGGATCATCCAGAATAAACAGATTTGGCTGTAAAGGACCAAATTAGAAATGATTCTCAGACCGGTTTGTGCAAATGGTTTTTTTTATTTTTTATTTCCACATTTATATCACAAGGTGTCCACTTACTGGACCAAATAGCAAAGTTGCTCCCTTCTGCATCCTGAGAACACAGAAGTCTAGATACTGTACATTCACTAAGGCTCCTTGTTTTTGCAAATCGCGTTATGACAACCATAAGGCAAACGAATCTAAAGGAATGGTCATGAGTGTTTCCAGCACACAGACAGGTCTCCTTGCAACCGTACAGCTTTACACACCAGTAGCACCTGTGGGAACCTTTTGTTTTGGGGATGAGACTCTAGAAAGGTGAAATTTTCTAGATAGGTGCAGGAAAGGGAAAATGAAACAGTAGAAAGGAAAATTGTTTGGCTGGTGTTGAAATGGAATAAAATAAACTCTAGAAAACAAATTTTTGCAGCATTTCTTTAAAAAGTGAGTTTGAACTGAAACAAAATACTCATGTGTGGATGCCCATGGAGTGTGGGTCAAACAGGCTGACCAGGTGGCCCACCCGATGCCAGCAGCTCACTACATCTGGCACCATGATGGAAACACTGGCTGGATGGGGTGCAAATAGGCCATGAGGCTGCCCCTCAGACACTTCAGGGCCAAATGAAAGAACAGAAAATGCAGAGAGATGAGATGCATGCTTCTGTCACTGTGTTAAAGGTAACTTCTCCCACAGGTTTTCTGTGCCTGCCTGCAACCGAGGTCCCAGCTCATGGATGCTGGGAAGTGTCCGCACCTTTCTGGGGTGGGGAACTGACTTGTTTTATAGCTGGTTTGCTATAGAGTTCTGAACTCACTTTGCCGGCCTTCCTTCCACGCGGTCCTTCCTTTGTAATTTTGTTAGTAAACTGGTAGCAGCATTTCACAAAAGAAGGAGAGTTTTGAGGGAAGAGCTTAGAGACCTCTAGACCCCCGCCCCTCCCTTCTGCCTCAGCTGGGCACCAAACCCCTGGAGGCTTCCAGGCCTGGCCACCCTCCGGCTAACTGCAAGGTGGGAATGCACTTAGAAGCTGAGGGGCCAGTCAGTCTAAGCAAACATAAGGCAGAATGTTCAATCGCCCGTCGTCGCCATGCGGATCAAGCGATATGCACTGCGTCCAGTCATACCAGTTACCCTGTGTGTCCTGACACCCATTCACCCCTGGCCACTGATGGGCTTGGATTCTGTCCAGATCGTTCTGCGTGACCTGGCGGCTTAGCCCCGGGAGGTCAGTGGATGGGCCTGGAGGCAGCAGCACGTGTGGCGTCCTGGCCCCACGCCGGGTGCTCTCCTCCTGTTTCAGGTACTCGGACATGAAGTGGTGGGCCCCTGGGGTCTGTGCGCCAGAAGACGAGAGCAAGCTGCTCTGCCGGCTTAGGTAGGACTGAATGATCTCATTGCGTGACAGCTCCTTCCAGTTCGTCTGCTCAAAGGGGCTTTGGAGGCTGGTCTTGGCCTCAGGTTTGTCCAGCTCTGTCCTGGGTGGTTGCTCCGTGTGCACAGGGCTGTCGGCCTGCACTGGCTCTTTCTGGGTCAGAGGTTTGATCTGTCTTGTCATGGGGTCAAAGGTGAGCTTCCGTTCTTTTAACCGCACAGGCTTGACGCCTGCCTCGGCCACTTGGCCGCCCAAGTTCACGGTGTAGTCACGAGGCCGGTACCTCTTCTTTTTTTTGCTGTCTGAGCCCCCAGAGGAGGCTGCATCGCTGTCCGCCCTAGAAGAGTCTGGGGAGAAGCCAGCGCGGGGTAGGCTGGGCTCGGCAGGTGGCCCTGCCAGTCGCTGGTGGCCCTCAGGCTGCTCTAGCCAATGCACTGGGCTCTCGGCACTGGGCAACAGCTCTAGCCGCCGCACAGGGGGTGTGGATGGCTGGGCAAGTGGCAGCGGTGATGGCACCTGCGTGACATCTTGTGACTGGGGCCGAGGCAAGGGACTGGGCACAGAGCCCTTGGGTGAGTATGGGCTCCGCTGCCGGGCAAAGGAGCCCTCGTGCCGTGAGTTCCGGGGACTGAAGGAGCAGCGAGGCGGCCCTTTGGGGTGCAGAGGTCCCGAGGTCTCGTCCGCCCTGTCCAGCTGCTGTAGCACTGCAGCCTTGCTTTGCAAGCAGGGCCCGGAGGGCTTGCCCAGACCTGGAGAGCTGGTGTGCGGCCTCACAGCATTGATGGGGATCTTGACACTGTGCTTGTCGTTCTCGCCCTGCTCCAGGCAGCTGCCCTCAGGGCCTACGTGCCTGCCACTGTCCAGGGGACCTGGGAAGCTCTCGGGGCTCCCACCTATCCCATTGGTGGGGAGAGGTGATGAGTTGGGAACCAGGGAGTCATGGCTTACTTTGGAGACTTTGGGAGGTGGCCCAGGGTGGCCAAGGTCACGCTGGTCCCCCCGGCGCTTGCGACTGCCCAGCCTGTCCAGCCGCAGCCCGGGCAGTCTCTGGATGTCATTGCGGTTCTTCAGGTCATGGATGCTCTTGGGTGCGCCGGCCACCCCCGCCTCTGGCCGGCAGTTGTGGGCACCCCCGTTAGCAGAGCCAGGGGCCCCTGCCAGCCCCCGCAGCACTGCCTCATTCTGGTGCACAGGCTCGATGAGCTTCTGCCAGTTCCGCAGCAGCTTCTTGGCCCGCTTGGCAAGCTCTTCATTCTTGGTCTTCTTGCGGACGTCATTGATGAGTTTCCCAAGTCGCGTCTCCTACAACCAGAGAAAGACCATGGACTTTTTGGGGAGCAGGAGAACCCCTGTAGCCCCTAAACCACTGGCTTACCAGACACAAAACCTATGGGAAATTTGGTTCTTTGTGACATCTAAATTCTCAAATATAACCCTCAGACCCTAGGGTCCCAGGGCCAGAGGAAGCATTCTTAGAAGTATCATCCCGCAGGCTACTGGTGCCAAGGCCACTGCAAAGACCAGGAAGCTTTCTGGATGACAGTACATTGTGGGAAAGGCAACAGCAAACAAAGAGCCCAGCGACACCTACTGCAGTCTCCCTGGGCATCTTGTGGAGGACAGAACCCAAACTCTGGGACTGAACCTCACTCCCACCCCAGGTTCCTCAGTGCCCAAGGAAAGATGACATCCTCAAGCATGTGCTGTGGGCTGGGGTACTCACCTCCAGTGCCTCTTTGGTAATGGGGTATTTCTCCAGGCTGGAGATGACTTCCAAAACCGCCACCATGTTCCGGATCTGCAAGACAAGAGCCACTCATCACATCCCTGTCCTCCCTACCCTCCCTCCACCTCGCCCACACCAAGAGCCAGTGGAGCTGGCATCTCTGAAGCCCCTATTGCACACCTGCACCCAGGGCAACATGGCACCCAGCACTCACTCTCCTATCCATGTACATGGCCACACTCTCAAGTGTCTGCCACACAACCAAAACTCATGACTTTAATGAAACAAGATCTGCTCTTGATCAAAGAGCACTCTACTCTGCCATTTGATGGGATGGGAGACTAAAGAGTTAAAATAAAATTTACCAAGTTTAAAATAGAAGATTGA